GAACGCACTTCCGCCACCTTCAGACACTCAAGAGCCACATGCGTATCCACACGGGAGAGAAGCCTTATCATGTAAGCTTCCTATCCCATTAGCCACCACTTGTTCTCAATGACAGGAGGACTATCAGTTTACCCTCTGTGATCCTTGAGTAGTTCTAAAGACATAAAAGAAAGAATAAAAGCCCAACAGGAAGTCATAATTACAAGCTTTAACGTTATAATTATGACAACAAAAGTAATAATTTTGAGAATAAAAGTCATAATTTTGAGAATCAATCATAATTATGAGAAAGTCATAATTTTGACATTCAAAATCAATCTTAAGATCGAAAGTCAGTCTCACTTTTGATATAGTCATTACTTCAACTTTCAGGCAGTTATGAGATTCAAAATTATAGTTTTGAGTTTCAAAGTCATGATTATGAGACATTGAATCTCATGATTATGACTTTGAAAGCCAAAATCTTGACTATAAATCTCATAATTATATCTTTATATCTCGTAAGTATGACTTTAAAACTTAAAACTTTCTGTTGGGCTTTTATTTTTTTTTTATTTTTTATGGTTAAATGGTTCTTCCATAGTTTAATGCACCATGTCTGACTGTGTATTTTTCTTTTTTTTTTTTTTTTTTTTTTTTTTTGCAGTGTGAAAAATGTGACCTCCACTTCAGACACAAGAGTCAGCTCAGGCTTCATCTCCGACAGAAACACGGCGCCGTCACAAACACCAAGGCTCAGTACCGCAGGTCTCCTGGCAACATGGTCGCCGGCCCAGTGAACTCCTCCTGAGTTAGCTGCCGGCCACCGCTTACAGACTGGGTTAAAAAAAATACAGAGCGAACGCTCAAGTGTAATATTTGGCCTTTTTTTTTTTGTTTGTTTTTTTCGGGCTTACACACGTTGCACGTGTCCACGTGTGAGAGACGCTAATCTGCGCTTTTATTTTGAATGTCCCAACAACAGAATGTACGTCTTGAATGTGAATCTGAGTGGGTATTTCTCTGTTTTGCAAATACCTCGACAGAATGTCAGCCCTCTTTGTTGCTCGATTAGAGAATCACTGTTACACTTTGGTTTTAGATTAAGGTATGAACCTGCCCAGTAATTGGTCTGATGCAGTTATGATGCCGATTTTAACTTTTCTTTCATAAAGCTCTTTGTGTAAATAAGATATCTATATATTATATATTTTCGGATAGCTACCATTTGCTGGCAGAGTGTGAATATATTAACATTTGGTAAATTTTTTCCCTCATGGAGTAGCTTGACTGTCATTCATGCTGTGGGCTTTTTATTTTTGCTGTGTCATAGTTTGTGGTACATGCTGTAATATTTACAGACTGTCATCTGTTTTAAAATTCGCTACTTTTTGTACATATTGAATTTTTTTTTACAGATTTTTTTTTTTCTTTTCGAGCTTGGTGTCTTGCACATGCCCATGATGTTGTAATATATCTGTGTTCATACGTCAGCTTGAGTATTTCTACTTTAAATGTTCTCAACGGTTCCTTAAACCCCGTTCCCAGCACTTTTATATTCTTGTTTATTTTTGTAAATGTGATTCTTTCTTCTAATATTTGGTGCTGCAGCAATCCATTTCCCCCAAGGGGTGTTTTTTTCCCCTTACTTAACCATGTGCTTCATAAAACACTCATTATATTTGGCAGATTTTCTGTGCCTTACATTTACATTTTTCTGTCGGCTTTTACCACAGACTGACAATTATTTGAATTTTAATTGTGACCATCTGAAAGCTCTGGTACTTAATTGCTTTTTTAAAAATATATTTACCTTGGTACTCAAGCTAATTAATGCATATGCATGTTAAGGTACCATTGGTTTGGAAGCACCTCACCTGAAGGGTGAAGCTCTTTAATGTGCAGACACCAGGCCTCAAGCTAAAACACTCAGGAATATCAGTACAATGTAAGCAAATGTGTTTCTAATGGCAATTGAATATACATATGAAATATATTTATAAATATATTTATATATATGACAATAAAATGTGTACTGTGGAGCATATATGCATCACTCCTTCATTTTTGGGTGTTAAATTACCACTATGAGACTTAGTGACATATTTATATTGCCAAAACCTGACTAGCTTAGAATATGACTAAATGATGAAGTAAAGCTGAGTAGATTTGTAAAACAAACTCCATCACAACACATCTTCAGAAATGCAGACTGCTTCAAAACATGTGTTAAACAGGAGCCTGGACGGCCTACACAAAGCACTCAGTTTAACTCCATAGAAACTATGGGATTAGTTTAAAAAAAGAATATAAAAGAATATTTTAGTAATCGAGTACTTCATAGAATATTTTTACGATTATCCGAGGAATCAGATATCTCTCTCTCTCTCTCTCTCTCTCTCTGTCTGTTTTTCTGCCCCATTCCTACTGTTTGCTCCAAAACCGTGACGACACGATTCTGATGCCAGAAAAGTTGTCCAACCAACAGCCGCAAAGTTCAACAATCCTTATTTGTCCCCTAAACCCTGGCAAAACTGCACACAATTCAACACCATGCTGCTAGCGCTTCATAACAACTCATAGGCAGAAGTAAGAGCGCTACACTCCACAAGTAATGATCCGGTCGGAACACAGTGTGCTACATAATAAAACATAATTTAACGAAGCTTCGAGGCAGATACATTTTCCTCGAGGAATTTTAGTAATCGAAGTACTCGAATCATTCGAGGAATCGTTTCAGCTCTAGATTAGTTACAAGTGAGATGGTGAGCCAACTGTTCTTGTCCAACATCAGTGTCTGATCTCACAAATGTGTTTCTGGGGGAAAGGTCTGATATTCCCATTAAAAACACTCCTAACCATTGTGGGGTAATAATTAACGTGGTATTGCAACCATGAAGTATATGATAATTTCACATCAGGATAACTGATTAAAACAGAGCTTATTTCAAAATATACTATACAGGATGACTGTTTAATAGTCTATAATGCAATTGATGATATAAATAGTATTTAAAATAATTGTACATAGTTAAACATCATGTAAAATGGAAACAAATTGTCTCTTTTTGATGTTCTGAAAGTTAATTGATTATAAATTGACAAGTAGGAAAGGGGCAGGTCATTATAAGATATTATATCTTCTACCTGCTCCTTTTCAAACAGAAAATATAAAATTTGCATGTCACATGGGCAAAATAATTTGTTTTACATTTTATTTCTTAAGTTTGTTTCATTCTATTTTATTTTGTTTTTTTTTTCTTGATTGTTTTTTTTGTCTGTTCGAAATAAATAAATAAATAAAAATAAAATTCTGACTCTGGTTTCTTTCCACAGTCCAACAACATGTCTGTCAGGTAAATTGGTCTCTAAATTCTCCCTAAGTGTGTGAGTGTGTGTGTGCATGGTTGCTTGTCCTGTCTGTCTCTGTGTTGCCCTGCGACAGACTGGCGACCTGTCCAGAGTGACCCAGCCTCTCACCCGAAACGTTCACTGGAGATAGGGACCAGCACCCCTTCCGACCCCACTAGGGACAAGGGTGTACAAAAAATGGATGGATGGACGACTTCTGGTTCTCACAGAGCTCCTATTGTACACTAAGGACCAGTATTTATTGCACCTGTACAGTAAATTTTCCATCATTTAAAATCATGTGTTTTTACATAATCACAACTATTAAATATATTTTTCATCCAGATTAATGGTCTGTAAGAACGGACTTCCAACAAGGACGTTTTAAGCCCTCGGCATGTGTAAAGTTGGCATCGTTTTCTGTGTGTTTCACCAAGAAAAATTTTATCACCCATTAAGTTTCTTTATAGTTTACTTAAAATGCCTTGACATGGTCACCCAAGGTCACAAATACAATTTAGTCAAGTTAATGTACATTCAAAGAAAACTGTTGGTTTTCTACAAGGTAGGCCTCTGTCTTTGTATACGTGTGCATGTACAGATATGGATGAATGAAATATAGAAAAACGTCCATACAGACCTGATGAATGCTTCATGGACTCTTCCCAGGTGGATTTCAGGTCAGCCATCCTGACATGGTTTGCTTTAACTCCGCCCACTGATAAGGCCGACAGGTAAATTCAGGATTCGTTGCAGCAGGAGACCATGTCATTAAACAGTGAAATACGTTTCAGCTTGCTGTACATTGCTGTTTTATTAATACATATAACTATATGGTTAGTATTAAAATAATCAAATCATTGCGTAGTTCACTTTTTCATACGACAGCTTTAATTGACTATATAGTTAGGCCTATTGAGTGAATTTTGAACCTGGTTATGAAGTTGTGTTTTCAGTATACCTTTGGCCCAAATGACTTGTTGAATTTGTTCCTCAGAGTCTGGATTAGAGTGGGGTGTTTTTATGTTAAATGTCTGTTTTCTGGTCTATAAATGACTAAAAGCAATGTTATACATATAAACAAAAACAATAAGCTCTTACATCCACATAAAAGAACTTCAGAAATAGTAAAAGTATTTTCACAAAGCAACGGGGTTTTTTGTTCATAAACTGCGAAAACATGCATTGAAATATGGTATATTACGCCTCCTGCTGGTTGATGTGATGTTTGGAAAGTTATAAATTAAAATTGGAACAGATCTTTGCTTTGAAAAAGTATGTACCCATTCCAGGTTTCTTCAGTCTGTTCTTTATTTTCCTTTAATCTAAAGGTTTCAGGTCATTAAGCAAATTTTTGGATCAAAGATAACGTGAAAAAATACAAAAAACAAATGGAACCATAATCAATTTAAAAATACTTTACTGATCCAAAAGGGAAATTAAATGTTGTAACTCATATCACTCAAGGCCGTTTTAGATGGCAATGGCTGTGGGTAGGAAGGGTCGGTTGTAGCGATTCGTTGCACAGATCGTTTTTCAGGCAACAATAAGATTGGCTATTATGACAATTTTTAGATCAGGATGTTTGAAAAATTTCAGTACACTTCATGGTTTTACACTATTTAAGAGATTTCTTGATTCTGCAAAACAAATGTTTTTTTGTTTTTTTTTAAACACATTTTCTACATAATCAAGTAAACATCTTCTGTTCCACACGTTGAGCTGTTCTGTTTAAACCTCTGGATATAGAATAAACTTCTTGGACGTGTGGAGTTCTAGAACTTTCCACACTAACATTGCACTGCATGACGGCCGTGCAGCAGGAAGTACATAAAGTGAAAATGTATTCGATCAAATGTGTGTAAAACTTTGTCAATATTACGTTAATGTCGAAAAAACATAATTTTGTAATTGCGGTGCTTCCATTCAATTAGAAAAGTAAAATTACACAGAATAAGTTTATGATAGTTTATTTAAAAATGCTCACCCTCTAGCTACTTCCCGTGATTTTCTTCTTCATGGTTTGCACCAGTGAGTACATCCGGTTGTTGATCATGTGACTCGTGTGATGAGAATTTTTTTTCCCTGTCATTTTGGTGAATTTTATTTTTAATTTTCATGTTTTTATTGAGCCAATTCATTGTCAAAAAGCCAAATTGCACAAATATGCTCAATGGAAACGCAGCTGTCTGCTTATTGTGTTGTATACAGTATCCTGGCCTGGGTGTAGCTAATGAAACAGGATTTAATTTTCACATTTTCACACAGGTCTCAGTTGGCTTGGATAGGCATTCTCAATAAAATAAATAACTTGAAATTTTACTATAAACAGTAAACTATATGTGGGTAACATAATCAAAAGTATAAAAAAACTCAATGTTTTGTTTTCACTTTCCATCTTTATGAATCTTCCTCAAACACATCATACAAAAAAAATTCATTTTCATCTACATATTTATTTCAACTTGTCCCAGATGTTATTTCTTCAATGAAGTGCATCAAAATGTTCTGCTAAAGACACGTCTCACTCTTCCAACCTTTCCCCCCAACCAGACGCTGGATGCTTCCACGTGGAGCAGCCGCTGTCCAAACATGACACAGATGTAAAATTGAATTTAATGAGATGGCTGAAAGGCTATTGGCAAATCGATGAAGAGTCAACTCGATCCTTGTCACCAGGTCACATGACAGTTTGGTCTGAAGCATCACAGCTCCTTCTTACGACATGATACTGTGAAGACATTAGTGATAAATACCATGTTGATGACAGCGTTTAGCGTCTTTGATAAATTTATAAGCGTCTCGAGAGGAGAGGCGCTGAATGGGTCGATAGCAAGTAGCTGCTGGGCATATCCTCCCGTCCCTTGGCCCCCAAAACCCCGGCCCCCCAAATCCATCACTTCTACCACCACGCGGCGTGTTCGCACGAACAGCGTTGTGTTTAGACATGGAAATCAAAAGGAAAAACAAACAAAAACTCATCTGGAAGGACATAGAAACGCATTAAAGTAGAAACGCAGTGGATAAAAAGAAACTTAAAAAGATAAATGAATGTTGCTGACAGTTGGGAGAAAATCAAATTTCTTTGATCAGGATGGCTTCCACATCAGCAAACACCTGGAGGGACAGGAAACAGAAGGGCGGGGCTTAGTTTCACTTTGTGGTTCAATTCCACATTTTTGTCACATTACAAGAGCAAACTTCAAGTTGAAGTGGAAAATTAATGATGTGTGATTTTCAAATTTGGTTTACTGTACATGTAAAAATCTGAAGAGTGTGGCATACCTCTAAATCAGGGTTCCTCAAACTTTTCCAGGCTAAGGACCATTTAACACATTTAACAAACACACACGGACCACCTAACTGGAAAATACCCCCACAATAACAACATCTTAATAAATATAACCTGAAATAACAATTTTAGTCTCAAGTCACTTATTGTCGTCTTTGTTTATCCTAATGAGAAAGTTAATAGAAGATGGCCACGACAAACCATGGACAAGTCGACTCGGGGGGTTTCGAGTCATTTACAGACTCTGAAAGTGTGGATTCTAAACTTTCCAATGATAGCAAATCAAAGAAACGAAGTTGTTCTTTACCACAGCTGCTGTGTGCATTAAGAATATTTAAGGTAATTGTAATTTAGAAACATAACAAAGAAGAAAAATAGGCTTGAGTTGCGCTGGCAGAAACAAAAAAAACAGCTGTTGATGTGTGAGCAGAGCACTATCAACAAGCAAAGTTGTAAAAAACAAACAACATTGTAAAAAACAAACAACAGTTCTCATTAACCAAGTCTGGAGTCCTACAGTTTATGGCAAAGAACTGTTCAAAAGAATTGAATCACTAGTGAACACAACACAACACTGAGCAGATATCACTTGGCTTCATCTGGTCATATTGCTAATTCTGGTATTGTTTTCTTTCCACCGGTATCTTCAGTTTTTGTTTTTGAGTGATACAGTTTTATCCATTATCATTTTTTAAAACAATCTTTCGTTAAGCTAACTTTGAGCTTTACCAAAGATTAAGCTCAGTTCTTAATCTTGAGCTTACGATTTGAGCTCAAGTCATTGTAAATAAACTGTTGTTTACATGCAGTACCTTGCGGGCCACTAGGGGGCGCCTGCGGATCGCGGTTAGAGAAGGACTGTTCTGAATTTTTGAAATCCCAAAGGCAGGGGTGACCAAAGTCGATCCTCGAGGGCCAGTATCCTGCACGTTTTAGTTCTCTCCCTGGTTGAAGTAACAAACTTTTCAGCTTGTCAATGATCCTCTTAGGGCTTCTAACAAGCCATCATTTGATCCAGGTGCGTTAAACCAGGGAGAGAACTAAAACATGCAGGATGCCGGCCCTCAAGGACCGACTATGGGCACCCCTGCCCAAAGGGCTTCAGAGGTCACCTAATTGAGATGATTGTTAAAGAACCAGAATGATGGAGGAAGCAGATAAGTCAGGCAGGAGTTCCTCTACCTGCTGTTCTTTTCACTACAAAACAAAACAAAATCATATCTAAAATTATCACAAGTCTGGATAGCATTAGTCAGAGAAGCAGAAGCAGGAGAGGGGAACATGGTAACTGTGAAAGAGCTGTAGAGGAGTATTTATTTATTTAAAGGATAACCATCTGTGATGCAGCATCTCATTGTTGAGAGAAAACATCCAAGGTCTAGTCAAGAACTCTACAAATCTGGCCTTTATGAAGGTACGGAAAGAAGAAACCTGTAAAAAGTTTTGTTAGATGCTCACAATACAAAGGCTAAATACAAAGGCATGCCACACTTTTCAGATTTTTATTTGCGGAAAATGTTGAAAACCTGGAATCAGTTTTCTTCATGTCATCTCCTTCCTTAAACAAAGTCCCAAGTCATTTTTTTGTCAAGACAAAAATGCTTTTGACAAAAAAACCACTTAAGCCCATTATTTTAGGAAAGTGACGGTAGGTTTTATGGTTTGAATAGTCAAAAAAGACAAAACGTGGAAATGTTTCAGCTGGCTTTAAGGATGGCGAAAAAGAGAAGCGACAACCCGTATTGAAGCGCGGTGTTTCCTCACCTCATCCACGGAGCGGGAGGCGTCGATGGTGTACACCTTGCCATGTTTCTGGTATTGCTCGATGATTGGTCGCGTAGAGTTCAGGTAGGTTTGGATTCTGCGTAAGAAGAAGAAGAAGAAACGGTAGCTGGTAATTGGGGTCGGGCCGCACAGGGGACTCGAAAGAGACGTAAATCAGGCCAGCGACATACGCAGGTATCCAGTCGGCCAGTTAAATAGGCCAGAGCAATCAGACACGCTGGATTTTAGTTGGACTTCTTCACAAAGAAACCAATCAAACAAGCATGCACTCAGCAGACATGTCACCTTTTCTCCAGGCTCTCTCTGTTGTCATCTGTCCGTCCGCTGCTCTTCCCTCTTTCTAAACATCTGTCGATGCAAACCTGTGTGCATATCACATCTTCATATTTTATGTGTTGGACTAAAATAAACCGGATGGGGGTTCAGATGCCCCGTTCAGTGGCGTACCTCGTTGCTGCAGTCAAAGAAAAGCACAAACTTGACGTCTGCTTTGCCCTCCATGTGCCGGTTCCAGCCCTGCAGGTTGTCCTCGTTACGAGGGAAGCCATCGATTAGGAAACAGTTCTTGGTCTGGTCTTTGGTCATCGTCTCTGTCATGGACTAAACGTGGGGGTAAACCACAAAAATGGCAACAGCTGCACGTTACAAAATGTGCGCAAAATTTTGTAAACATGTCCCTAATGTCGCAGAAACACAACTTTGCAATTGCGATGTTTCCATTAAATAAGAAACATGACTAAAATCCCAAGATAAGATTGTTCATGCAACAAGTTGTTAAAAAACGCGCCACCTTCCTCCAGCTACTTCCTGTCGTCTTCTTCATGGTTTGCTCCAGTGGTAATATTCAGTTGTTGATCATGTGACTCCTGTGATACGAAAAAAGTGTTTCCGTTGCAGATTTGTGAAATACACCCATTTCAATATGGCCAATATCAGCGTGTTTTCATTGAGCAAATTTACTTTAAATGTTAAATTGTGCAATTATATGGTCAAAAGACACACAGTTGTAGACGCATAGACTTAAGTTGTGTAAATATTAAGGCGTACAGTAATCAGACCTGGGTGTGGCTAGTTACATGGAATTTTCTTTTAAGATTATCACACAAGTTTGGGTTGGTTTGTGCACCTTTTCCGAGTGGAACAAATAAAATAATTTGAAAATTGTACTATACACAGTAAAATGCATGTGGGTATCATAACCAAAATACGATGAATAAAGCACATTTATTTTCGAAATGTCAAATTTTGCCATTATACGGTGAATGGAAACACAGTAGGTTTGCATGACTGGTACAAACAAAGTTGGAGTGGCTCACAGAGCAGCTGTGAAAACCTTCTACAGAACAACAGATGTTCATGAAAAGAAGCAGAACAAACAACCTCTTGGCAATCTTGGAGCAGCTGCAGGAATGTTTATTATGGCACACTGACTTTCTTTCATTGCACTAATAAAAATAACATTTTGAAATAAACTCTGTTGAGTCATCTCCCCAACCTCCTTAAGGGCTTGAACTGCTTTGTGTTTTTACCAGATTGAGCCCGTCCGACTCAAACTGAGTGGAGCGCTCCGTCTGGCAGGCCGGCTCTGATTGGCTGAGCCCTCCTTCGCTGTTTTCACCTAAACCGCTGTCAGTTTTCCATCTTTCCAGGTATGATGGTGGGTTAAAACCATGTGTGATGCAGGTCTGAGCATGACAGGATGTGGGGAAGTTTGGAAGAACATTAACTTCTGCCATGCTGTTGAAGTGTATGTCACTTTTAATGCACCTCTGCTTGAACAGTGCGCGTATACTGGGATCAGTGGTGTGAGTTTCACTGTATTCTGCTGCGTCTCTCTAAGCATGAAATAATCATTCAGATTTTTGGAGTCTTTTTTTCACAGGTGACTGAAAGCCATATGTAGTTATCTAGTTTTTGAAAAGTAATTTTGTTTAAATTTGCTTTGTGTTTTTCTATCATTTGAAGCACTTTGGGATTTCTATCTTGAAAGGTGATACATCAATAAAGTTTTATGTCAATAAAGTTTTACTCCATTGACCAGACACATTTGTCTGTGGTCTGATGTATAAGTACACAGTACAAAAGAAAAAAAAATAATTAAAAAAAAATGTGACTGAAAAAAGAAAATTAATTTTCATTTGAAAACCACTGAAAAAAAGAAATGGGTCTCTGTGTCACAACGAATTAGTACACCAGAGAAAAGGTTATGGATTACTAGTCCGAAGTTCTTAGGAACTCTAATCAGCTCAAACAATTTAAAAATAAAATTTAAAAAAAGTCTTCAGTCATATTTATAAAAAAAAAAAAAAAACCTCAAAGGGAGTACCACTAATTTAGCCACCACATTTCGAGATTAATCTAAAAAAAAAAAAAAAAAAAAAAATCACAAAAATGTAAAGCTTCAAAAGTTTTAAATTTTCAACTTTTGAAACTCAGGAGTTTTTTGGTGAGAATGTACCTCTTTTGTTTTGCTATCTGCAATGGCCCTAATATTCTGTCATAGTTCTATCAGTCACACTAAATTAAGAAAAAAAAAGAAAAAAAAAAGAAGAAAAGTGTTTGTTCCTGCATTAATAAAACTGATCGACTAAAGATAAGCCTGGCCCTGACGAAGCGTTTATAACCAGCTAAGCTGAAGTTGAATGCAGAACCTGGACCTGATGCGTACCTGTCTGAGTAAGCTGATGGTGATCTCCACCGGGACGATTTTGCCTTCTTTGATATAGTTATCGATGAGCTGTCCAAACTCAGACCCTTCTCTACCTCGCTCTGCCCTCAGCAAATCTCCAGCTGACAAATGAGTGTAGTTGAAGGCCTGAAACACACACAGACAAACACACACACATAGAGAAAACATTTGAATTTTCATATGATCAACTGATCTTCAGTGTTACATGATGAATGCATCCATTTCTTCCTCCGTTTTTATCCAAACAAACGATGACTGCTTTATCAGACTGTAAGTGTGCAGCTTGGAAAAAGTTGGCTGTTTGTGCCCTGAATGAAAGGAGCTTCTGTCATTCAGATCTGACTGCTGCTCTGGCAACGTGGCAGCCAACACCCAATCACGCTGGTTCAAAGTCTCCATCATAAACCCTCGCTACCAAACGTCTAGCATGTATGCCACTTGGGAATGCTTTAGCAAGAAACCAGTTTTACAGTTAAACACAAACAGTCGGAGAACAGGAAGAAAGATACTATGCTAACAGATGGAAACTGGTTTTTCTTCAATAACCGGTTTGTAAACAAAGTCCTCTTGAAGGTGATATGCTCGCGTTATTGAAAATAGCATGAGATATGATTCTATTGAATATCTGGCTGCTCTTTAATTCATTTTACATTTCATTTTGGGGTTATTTTGGAGCAGAACAAAATTAGAATCTAATGAGTTAGGATCTAATAAATCCCAGCAATACAACACCTGATTGGAGGACTGAACTGAATGGTTGTAAAAAAAAGAGTGTGAAGGGGCTCGTGAGCAAAAGCCAGAGGAAGGCAAAAAGTGACGGTGCTGTCCCGGAGACACTGCTATGGATGGAATACCGTCTCTGCTTCCCGGATACTGAACCGTTAGCATGTCAGGACAGCCGTCAGACAGTCATACAGCAATAGTCAGAGGACTCAACAGCTTTGATGCAAGACTGACTTCTACAGGAAATTCTTACACAGCATCACCAGTACTTCCATGAAACGAGTTGCGACCTTTGGGACAGATAAACTGTTTTTTTTTTTAACTGAATTGGGATTTCTGAGACATAAATCGATTGGCATCAATAATCTGTGAAACACGGTGGAGGCAGTATCATGAAAGTTTGAATTCACTTTCTATTAACATCTAACAGGTGCCTGGTTAGCTTTTTTTTAATTATTATTCCTTCTGGATAATAACCACACAGCAGCAGCAGAGTCTCCCCTCTGGATATCATGAAGCAAAAAACGTAAAAATAGCCACAGAGAAATATTTGAAAAAGGATTACCAAAGACAATTTTGACACTAAAGCTCGCTAGTAGCTAGCCAGCCAATAAGGTAACCCCTTCAGTGGTGGAGAAAGTACTCAATAAATGTACTTAAGTAAAAGTACAAATACACAGGCAAAAATGTAC